ATAGCAGGGAGCTGGATTGGAAGTGGAGCAGCTGGGACTTGAACCAGCGCCCATATGGGATGCCAGCATTTCCAGCGGCAGCTTTACCTGCTATGCCACAGCAAAGGCCCCAGGAGCCAAGAGTTTCTTCCAGGTCTCCCATGTGGGTGGCAGAGGCTCAGGTACTTGGGTTATCTTCTGCTGCTTATCTCAGGCACATTAGCAGGGAGCTGGATGAGAAGTGGAGCAGCCAGGACACGATCCAGTGCCCATGTGGGATGTCAGTGTTGCAGGAGGTGGCTTAACCCACTAGGCCACAATGCTGGCATTTTTTTAAGTTACTTATTAGGCTTGTAAATATATGCTGTAACTTTATTTATTTATTCATTAAGATTTTATTTATTTATTTGACAGGTAGAGTTACAGACAGTGAGAGAGAGAGACAGAGAGAAAGGTCCTCCCTCCGTCAATTCACTCCCCAAGTGGCCGCAACGGTCGACGCTGTGCCGATCCGAAGCCAGGAGCCAGGAGCTTCCTCCCAGTCTCCCATGTGGGTTTAGGGACCCAAGCACCTGGGCCATCCTCCACTGCCTTCCTAGGCCACAGCAGAGAGCTGGACTGGAAGAGGAGCAACCAGGACTAGAACCGGCACCCATATGGGATGCTGGCGCTGCAGGTGGAGGATTAACCTAGTGCGCCATGGCACCGGCCCCTATTCTGTAACTTTAAAATTTTTCAACACAACTACATTTCTGTTTTGCTTAGACTGACATTCTCCAAGCACTTACTAGCAGCTGTCAGCCAGGACTTCACCATTAGCCAAGTGAAAACCTTGTGCTTTCAAATTTTTTCTCATTTATTTATTTATTAAAGAGTTATTTATTTATTTGAAAGACAGAGTCAGAGAGAGAGAGAGAGGGAAGAGGGGGGGAGATCCTCCATCTACTGGTTCAGTCCCCAAATGGTCTGAATGGCAGAGCTGGGCCAATCCAAAGCCAGGAGCCTGGAGTTTCTTCTAGATCTCCCACATGGGTGCAGGAGCCCAAGTACTTTCCCAGGCCATTAGCAGGAAACTGGATAGGAAGTGGAGCAGCCAGGACTCAAACTGGTACCCATATGGGATGCCAGCACTGAAGGCGGCAGCTTTACCTGCTGTGCCACAGCGTCAGCCCCTATTATTTATTTTGATTGATAGATTATTTTATTTATTTATCTATTTATCTGAAATGCGGAATGACAGAGAGAAATATGTTTGCTGGTTCACTCCCCAATGGCCACACCAGCCAGAGCTGGGCCAGGCCAAAGCCAGGACCCTAGCACTGCATCCTGGTGTGCCACATGGGTGGCAGAGGCCCACGTGTGTGAACCATCTTCCATCTTGCCTTCCCAGGTGCATTAGCAGGAGCTGGATCAGAAGTGGAGCAGCTGGGACTTGAAATGGCACTCCAATATGGAATACTGGCATCAAAAGTGGCAGCTTAACCCACTGTACCACAGTACCAGCCCAAATCTTGTACTTTTTAAAAACAAATATTTAAAAGCATTTTTGGGGGGCTGGCGCTGTGGCGTAGCGGGTAAAGCCGCCGCCTGTAGTGCCGGCATCCCATGTGGATGCTGTTTCAGGTCCTAGCTGCTCTACTTCTAATCCAGCTCTCTGCTATGGCCTGGGAAAGCAGTAGAAGATGGTCCAAGTGCTTAGATCCCTATACCTCCCCGTGGGAGACCTGGAAGAAGCTCCTGACTCCTGGCTTTGGATTGGCGAAGCTCCGGCTGTTGCAGCCAACTTGGGAGTGAAGCAGCGGATGGAAGACCTCTCTCTCTGCCTCTCCTCTCTGTGTAACTCTGACTTTCAAATAAACAAATAAATCTTTATAAACAGATACATATAAAAGCATTTTTTAAAAGGGTGCATCAATGTTTGTCATGCTTCAGACACTTCAGAGATATTGCCCTGCCTCAGAAAAGAAATAGTGATGAACGCAGGGAGGGCTCACTGATGTTCATTGTCTGCTGGGCTGTTGGCTGGGTACTACCCTGAAGACATCCTCTGTGCAGGCCTGTGTGTGTGTGTGTGTGTGCACGCGTGTGCAGGGGTGTTTTCTCATTGAGTTCTCAGGCAGCCCCTGAGGTGGATAGTATTATCTCGTGTGCACAGAGGAGCAGAATGGATACCCTTGAGGGATGGGAACTTTCCCAGGTCTCACGCTAAGCATTGAAGCCAGATTATGTGACTCCCAAACCTCTGCTTTTTCTCCTCTGCGCTGCTGAATCCCTTTGAACCACAGAGGTAAGTTAAGAGCATTAAGTGTTGGCTGTAAAGTTGTGGCCTTCGTATCTCACTTCTCAAGCTCTGTCCAGCATCTTTCAGTGTGGCTTAGTCAGACTATTCCTCAGCTCCTCATCACCCCTAACACCAGCAGTCGGTTGCACAAGGACAGGCACACGGTAGATGTGTTGCAACACATGCAGTTGGTTCTATCTTCTCTTTAAAGAGAAAGCTGCCACCGGTGATGAAGCCTAAAGCAGGTGGGAGTCAGGTTTCCTCCTTGAGTGTATGAGTAATCCCGTGTTTGTGTGCCCCTTGACCTGGGCATAACCTGTTCAGAGGTCTCAGAGGGGCAGTGGCACTGCCGGGAGAAGAGGCAGGGGCTGGACTTGCTGACGCAGAGGTGCCACGGACAGAATTGCAAGGGGTGCAAGCTGTGCCTCGTTCCAAGGCAGCAGTAATCCTTAGGTCTTCCCAGTGATGTTTTTTCATCACAGTGCATTAAGGAACTGCAGGATGTGAACGCAACTCCATGAAATGCCTGCTTCCTGTAGCACTGAGGCCGCAGCGGCTCCGGGAGGCGTACAGCAATGGGGGTGTGCTCAGGAGACTAAAACATGCCCTAGTACGTTGTGCTGAGCTTCTGGTGTGGCCTTTTCAACCCTGCTCTGATTCCTTCACACAGGAAAATGGAATTTATCTTTAGTTCCTTCTCTTCCCACAGGGCCCAGGCAGCATCAAAATACGGCAATGAATGTAATTTTGCCTCTTGTTTGCAGTGTTCTCCCCTCCAAGACACAGTGGCTCCTCTCCTATTGTCTGGTGTCCTTTCATCCCCCAGATGAGACCTGAGCCATCTCTTACCCCCTTCACATTTAGAGAGGACGCTCTCCACTCAGCCAGCCTCCCGCTCAGAGGCCTGTTCGCTGTGTGTTTATTAGTAGTAGTATTATTAAAGGTAGGCCTTTATGACTACCACATTTTTGTTATCTTTATCACCAAAAGCCTTCACTAAGCATGTATTAAGGAAAACACCAAGAAAAGAAAACTAAACCTACCTGGGTTCTCTTACCTGGTACTTCATAATCTAAGAACCCCCTTGTCCCTCTGTCTCCCCCACACATTATTCCAAAACATGCCTTTTTTAAAAAAGGAAGCAGAGGAGCTGGCGCTGTGGCGTAGTGGGTAAAGCCACCACCTGCAATGCCAGGATCCCATATGGGCGCCGGTTTGAGTCCTGGCTGCTCCACTTCTGATCCAGCTCTCTGCTATAGCCTAGGAAAGCAGCGGAAACCCTGTACCCACATGACTTGGAAGAAGCTCCTGGCTCCTGGCTTTGGATTGGCCCAGCTCCAGCCATTGTGGCCATTTGGGGAGTGAACCAGCAGATGGAGGACCTCTCTCTCTGCCTCTGCCTCTGCCTCTCTCTAACTTTGCCTTTCAAATAAATAAATAAATCTTTGAAAAAAAAAAAAAAGGAAGCAGTATAACCAACTAGGTTTATAATATAACAAGGCTGAATGGGACACAGTAGAGGATAAACTAGTGGAGATGGCTGGATGGCTGGAAAGAAGTGTGCTTTTTTTTTTTTTTTAAGGATTTATTGTATTTATTTGAAAGGCAGAGTTATACAGAGAGAAAAAGAGAGGCAGATCTTCCGTCTGCTGTGGTTCACTTCCCCATATGGCTGCAACAGCTAGGACTGGGTCAGGCTGAAGCTAGGAGCCAGGAGCTTCTTCCGGGTCTCCCACATAGGTGCAAGGGCCCAGGCACTTGGGCCATTCTCTCTGATATGGGATGCCCGGTGTCACAGGCAGCAGCGTCACCCACTATGCCACAATGCCAGCGCCTCTGATTTTTCTTTTAAATTTTGCTTGTTTAAAGAAATTTTTAAAATACATTAGATTCTCGGGCTCACTTGTCTAATCTTCCGCCTGTGGCACCGGCACCCCAAATTCTAGTCCCGGTTGGGGCACCGGTTCTGTCCCGGTTGCTCCTCTTCCAGTCCAGCTCTCTGCTGTGGCTCAGGAGGGAAGCGGAGGATGGCCCAAGTGCTTGGGTCCCTGCACCCACATAGGAGACCGGGAGGAAGCACCTGGCTCCTGGCTTCGGATTGGCGCAGCGCCGGCCATAGCAGCCATTAGGGGAGTGAACCAACAGAAGGAAGACCTTTATCTCTATCTCTCTCTCATTGTCTATAACTCTACCCGTCAAATAAAAATAAAAATAATACATTAGATTCTCAGGGTCATAGTAAAACATGATAATTACAACAAAATTCTCATCAACTGTCATGTTAATGTGATATTAATACAAAGAGAAGAGATTCATTGTAGTTCATAGATAGAGTTCTCCTTCCTTCCCTCTTGCTTTCTGACTTAGAAATTCCAAAAACACCACTGTAAGAGGATAGTGGTATCAAGGTTCCCAATCCCAGAACTTTCTCCCCAGTCGTGCTCAACTCTGTGTCCAACTTAGAGATGTAATTTTTGGAGCTCTTGCCCTGGGCCTGTAGGAGCCAGTTTTCACTTCCTTGTGTGTGTGTGTGTGTGTGTGTGTCCAGTCTTTGGTTGTATCAACATTTTCTCATATATAATTATCGTAAGTCAAAAAACATAATCTGATTCATGGTGTGTGAATCTTGTCATAATGAACTCATTCTATCACATTTTCAACATACGTGAATAAAAATTAAGTGTATTCTAAGAAGACACATTCCTTCTGGGTGCTGAGTGACAGCCTCTTGTCCTTGCAGGTGGGGTGGAAGACAACCCGTGAGTATTACACCTTCATGTGGGTCACTTTGCCCGCTGACCTAAACAAGGAATCGGCCAAACAGCAGGAAGTCCAGTTCAAAGGTGAGAAACTACTGGATCAAAGGTGTTGGAGACGGTAGCCAAGACTGGTTCATTTCCTGGAGCTTGAGCTTTCTGGGGCAGATAAAAAGATTTCTAGCTTTAAAATTTCTGAAATAGATCTTAGGTTTTTTTTTCTTTTTTTAATTAAAAGTCATGTTGTGTTTCCAGCTTATTACCTGCCCAAGGATGATGAGTATTACCAGTTCTGCTACGTGGACCAGGATGGTGTAGTCCGGGGAGCAAGTATTCCCTTCCAATTCCGTCCAGAAAATGAGGAAGATATCCTGGTTGTTACCACTCAGGTCTGTAACTATCTCATGTTTTCCTTAAGAATAGCGGTCCAGGATAGGAGAGGGCAATTTGGCTCAATTGAGATCTTGTTGCATATCTAGCAGATACTGCTGGGAGAATGTATGCAGCACCCACTCAGCCCACGTGGGAGCGACTCAGGAATGTCAGCGAGACGCACAGGGGCTGCCGCTTGTGATGCTAGATCCCATATCAGATCTCCAGGTTGTGTCCTGGCTGTCTGCTTCCGATTCACCTCCCTTGCTAACGTACCTGGAAAGGCAGTGGGTGATGGCCCCAGTGCTTGGGCCCCTGCTGCCCACGTGGGAGACCTGAATGGAGTCCCCTGGCTTCAGCCTGGCCCAACCCCTGCCATTGCAGCCATCTGAGGTGTGAACCAGCAAATGGAAGATCTCTCTCTCCCCTTCCCCCATTCTTTCCCTTTCTGTCTTTCCCTGCCATCTCTACTCGCCTTTTCCCTCCGACTCCGTCACTCTGCCTTTCAAATAAATAGTCTTTTCCCCACCCCAAAGATGTATTTATTTATTTATTTGAAAGGCAGAGCCACAGAGGGAAAGGGAGAGAGATCTTCCATCTACTTCCAAATGGCTGCAGTAGTCAGGGCTAGGTCAGGCCAAAGCCAGGAACTCCATCCAGGTCTCCCATGTGGGTGGTAGGGGCCCAAGCACTTGGACCATCTTTTACTACTGCTTTCCCAGATGCATTAGCATGGAGCTGGACCAGAAGCAGAGCAGCTGGAATTCAAACTGGCACTCATATGGGATGTCAGCATTGCAGTCAGCAGTTTAATTTGCTGTGCCACAATACTGGACCCAAAATAATCTTTTAAAGATTTATTTTTTATTGAAAAAGGCAGAGTTATAGAGAAGAGAGAGAGAGAAAAAAAGAGAAAGATCTTCCATCTGCTGGCCTCCATCTGCTGATTCACTCCCCAAATGGCCGAATGGCCAGGACTGGGCAGGGCCAAAGCTAGGAGCCCGGAGCTTCTTTCAGGTCTCCCACGTGGGCCATCATCCACTGCATTTCCAGGCAAGGGAGCTGGATTAGAAATAGAATCTCAAGGACTCTAACCAGTGCCCATATGGGATGCCAGGTGGAGACTTAACCTACTACACCACAATACCACACACACACCCCCCCCCCCAAATAAATAATCAGGAACCAGCGCTGGGCATTGAGTCTAGGTACTGTAATGTGGGGTGTGGGCGTCTTTTCTACTAAACACCCGCTCCCTGGAATGTTCTTTTGTAGGGCCAGGTGGAAGAGATTGAGCAGCACAATAAGGAGCTTTACCGAGAAAACCAGGAGCTGAAGGACAGCTGTGTCAGCCTCCAGACGCAGAACGCAGACATGCAGGCCGAGCTACAGAGGAAGCAGGTATGGCTGCGGTTAACAGTGACCTTGAGCATGGAGATCAGAATCGGATGCTGCCACTTATCCATCACGATTTTCTGTTTTGCCTGTGATCTCACTCCTTTACACTATTGCTTTATAGGCACGTTTGAAGTTTTATAGGGATTATTTTATTTAAATTTCATGGCAATCCTTTATTATCTCAGTTTTTTTTTTAATTTTTTTAATTTTATTTTTTACAGGCAGAGTGGTCAGTGAGAGAGAGAGACAGAGAGAAAGGTCTTCCTTTGCCGTTGGTTCACCCTCCAGTGGCCACCGCGGCTGGTGTGCTGTGGCAGGCGCACCGCACTGATCCGATGGCAGGAGCCAGGAGCCAGGTGCTTTTCCTGGTCTCCCATGGGGTGCAGGGCCCAAGCACTTGGGCCATCCTCCACTGCCTTCCCGGGCCACAGCAGAGAGCTGGCCTGGAAGAGGGGCAACTGGGACAGAATCCGGCGCCCCGAACGGGACTAGAACCTGGTGTGCCGGCGCCACAAGGCAGAGGATTAGCCTAGTGAGCCACGGCGCTGGCTTATTATCTCAGTTTTGTAGATGAGTAATCTGAGGTTTAGAAGGATTCCATAACCAGGGGCCAGCGCTGTGGCGTAGTGAGTAAAGCCGCTGCCTTCGGTGCCAACATCCCATATGGGTGTTGGTTTGAGTCCCAGCTGCTCCACTTCTGATCCAGCTCTGTGCTATGGCCTGGGAAAGCAGTGGAATATGGCTCAAGTCCTAGGGCCCCTGTACCGTGTGGGAGACCCAGAAGAAGCTCCTGGCTTTGGATCGGCCCATCTCTGGCTGTTGCTGCCATTTGGGGAATGAACCAGTGGATAGAAGACCTCTCTCTCTCTCTCTCTCTCTCTCTGCCTCTCCTTCTCTCTGTGTGTAACTCTGAATTTCAAATAAATAAATAAATCTTTTTTTTTTTTTTAAGAAAAAGGATTCCATAACCAGTTGATAGAGCCCAGATTGAAACCCACTGTTTCTTCCCATTGCCTATTTATAGCTTGACATATTTTCCTTGAGTCGCTAGATGAACATCAAGAGCAAAGAGAATTAAAGTTAGGTTGCAGATTTTCCAAACTCTGCTACTCCTGATTGGAATCTTCCTCCAGATTAGCAGGTGATGAATGAGAGCTGATGATACTGGGAGCTCGGCTGAAGGGAAGAGCCTTCTCTGAAGTCTGTAAGCGAGAAGTCGGAGAGAGAGGCCTGCAGCTTAGAGCAGGGAGGCGATATTGATGTACAAGTCACCTCACTGCAGATTGGAATTAGGAAAGAAATGTAATGACCAACATGGTAGCCACTGGCCACACGGACACTAGAAATGTGACTGTATGGAGATGTGTTGTGTTCAGAAAATATAAACTGTAATTCAGAGATTTTGCATAAAAAAGTAAAATATTTCCTCTTTATTGTTTACATGTTGAAATGATATTTTAGCTACACTAGGTTATACTATTTAGCCATATTGGCTTGTACTGTTAAAATTAATTTCATCTGTTTCTTTTCAGTTTTTTTTTTTTTAATATTTAGTTGAAAGGCAAAGTTACAGAGGCAGAGAGAGAGAGAGGTCTTCCACCTGCTGGTTCACTCCCCAAATGGCCACAATGGCCAGAGCCGGGCCTATCCGAAGCCAGGAGCCTGGAGCTTCTTCTGGGCCATCTTCTACTGCTTTCACGAACCATAACAGAGAGCTGGATTGGAAGTGGAGCAACCCGGTCTTGAACTGGTGCCCATATGGGACGCTGGCACTACAGACAGCAGCCTTACCCACTATGCCTCAGCACCGGCCCCTCTTTTCAGTTTTTTAAACTAAAATTTTTAGATTACATATGTGGTTCTTAATTGATTAGACAGCACTTCTCCAGGCAAAAAGCAGCTTTGTTTCTCGTGCCAGAGAACCGTGTCTAGGGTGTAACTGGCACTCAAGAAATACTTGTTTGGTGAATTAGTGGATACATACAAGCTCCAGTAGAAAAGAAATTAGGGTAGATAATTTTTCATATGAGAAGAATATATTTAAAACATTTTGGGCCGGCGCCGCGGCTCAATAGGCTAATCCTCCACCTAGCGGCGCCGGCACACCGGGTTCTAGTCCCGGTCGGGGTGCCACATTCTTTCCCGGTTGCCCCTCTTCCAGGCCAGCTCTCTGCTCTGGCCTGGGAAGGCAGTGGAGGATGGCCCAGGTGCTTGGGCCCTGCACCCCATGGGAGACCAGGAGAAGCACCTGGCTCCTGCCTTCGGATCAGCTTGGTGCGCTGGCTGCAGTGCGCTGGCCGCAGCGGCCATTGAAGGGTGAACCAACGGCAAAGGAAGACCTTTCTCTCTGTCTCTCTCTCTCTCACTATCCACTCTGCCTGTAAAAAAAAAAAAAAAAAAAAAATTTAATATGGGAATTCCTTTACTTGGATATTTCATTCACTGCTGTGTGTGCTATGTCTGATATACAGTAAGTGCACAGTAAATATTTTTGGCTACCTAAGATGCTAACAGTGATCTTACAAATGGTCCATCGCATTGGTGATGTCCCGATCTACAGGAAGAACTGGAAACCCTACAGAGCATCAATAAGAAGTTGGAACAGGAAGCCAAAGAGCAGAAGGACCGTTGGGAGACAGAGCTGCTGCAGTGAGTGTCCCATCATTCCTGGGTGGGAGGACCTCGGGGACGGTCAGACTAGATTTCTGGAGTTTGTTAGAAAGCCCTCTTCCCATCACGACAGTGGTAGCTATGATTCTTCCCCCTTTGAATCATGGGCTCTTTAATTACAGGTTAGAGAACTGGTATCAGAACAGCCAGAAGAAATTATCTGAATCCAAGTATCAGTTTTTGGGGGTCAGAAAGTCAAAACAGGACTGCAGTGGAGACTCGTAGATTTTAAAATAACTGCAGGATTAGGGCCAAGCCGGCCGTCAGTCGTTTAAGGCCGGGGGTGCTGACCACAGCCTTCCCCATCTCCGCAGACTGAAAGAGCACAATGAGAAGATGTCCTCAGAGAATGAGAAGATGGGCATCAGAGTGGATCAGCTTCAGGTGGGTGACGTCACGCCTCTGCCCCAGGGTGCATCACTGTGGTGAGTGCCTATGGCATCCCGTACAGGTTATGTGCCTTCCATTCTGGAGAACATCCCTCCCTCTCCTGTTTTTATTTCTTTTTAACTTATTTGAGAGACAAGAGAAAGAACTCCCATCTGCTGATTCAGCTCCCAAATGCCCACAACACCTGACTGAGGCTGGGACCTCGGGTCTCCTACATGGGTGGGGCAGGAACCCAATCACCTCACCCATCCCAGTTGTCTCCCAGGGTCTGCATCAGCAGGAAGCTGGAGTCAGGAGCCAGCCATCGGATCCAGGTATCTTAATCACTAGGCCAAGCACCTGTGCCCAGCGCTGTGTTTTGTTTAATAGTTGCAGTCTTCAAGACTGAATAATTTGTTCAGTCTGTGTTTATCATGAACTCTTAAGGTTGATGACCGTCATCTATACCAATGGTTTTTACACCTTTCTCTTACAGCTACAAAATCTTTTCAAACAAAATCTTCCTCAAAAGCCTAGAATGTAAAGCAGATAATCCCAGAACTGCTCTCATTTTTAGAAAACTGTACCTTTAAAAAAGGGGGTCTTTGCTAGCCGTTGTGGGCATTTGGGGAGTGGACTCACAGGTGGAAAATTTTCATCTCTCTGCCTCTGTCTGTCTCTCTCTCTGCCACTCTGCCTTTCAAATTAATAAAGAAATAAAAATTAAAGAGATAAAAAAAAAAAGGCTTTAAAGAGTAGTTTGTCCATTTAGCTGAGTTGAGCCCTAGGGTATAAAGTGGAGCTGAGAAGGTGAAGGCTGGGCGGGTGCCACGGCTCACTAGGCTAATCTTCCACCTGCAGCGCCGGCACACCGGTTTCTAGTCCTGGTTGGGACGCCGGTTCTGGTCCGGTTGCTCCTCTTCCAGTCCAGCTCTCTGCTGTGGCCCAGGAAGGCAGTGGAGGATGGCCCAGGTCCTTGGGCCCTTCACTCACATGGGAAACCGGGAGGAAGCTCCTGGCTTCGGATTGGTGTGGCACGCTGGACGTGGTGGCCATTTGGGGGGTGAACCAACGGAAGGAAGACCTTTCTCTGTCTCTCTCTCTCACACTAACTCTGCCTGTAAAAAAAAAAAAAAAAAAAAAAAAAAAAAAAGGTTAAGGGTTTCTAAGGAATACTTGGCAGTGGGTGGAGCAAGGGAAGCACATCACTTTCTGTTTCTGTTCTCTGAATTTCAGTGTCATTCCTGGTGAGTTTTCCTCCTTTATATCTTGGTTGCATTCACTGGTTTTCCTTTAGGTCCAGCTGTCAACTCAAGAGAAAGAAATGGAGAAGCTTGTTCAGGGAGATCAAGACAAGACAGAGCTGTTGGAACAGATGAAAAAGGAAAATGGCCAACTCTTCCTCAGTTTAACTGAACAGGTAGAGTAATGGAAGACAGCAAGACTTGTCTTGCAAATAGTCGTGGTTCTTGTCTTTGTCACGTACCCGGTATCGCTGGCCCCTAGGAAGGTCTCAGAGGAAGCCAGCTGAAACGAGGCCTCTCAGGGCTTTCCTCAGAAACAAACAGGAGACTCGCCCCTCCTGTGCGCCTGCTTGCCTCTCAGTCCAGCAGGCCCTTTCCCGTGCATGCGTGCATCCTCCCCGCAGTGATTCTGAAATCTGTTTTTCTACAGAGGGAGCAGCAGAAGAGGCTCAAGCACACTGTGGAGGAGATGAAGGAGAAAGAATCCCAAGCAGCAAAGAAGCAAGAGGAGTTAACGGCATGTCTGTCTTTGGATGGCTATGTGGGAGGGGCTCTAAAGACAGGAAGACAGGAGGGTCCATTTGCAGGAGCTGGAAAGGGTAAATAAGACAGATTAGAGTAGCGTTCACTCTTGGATGTTTTGCTTTCTACCCAAAAGGACAGAGCATCTGCCATCTGTGAGCTACTAGGAGAGGTGGGCCTTTCTAGGAGTGGTAAAGCGATGATGAAAGTTAAATACCGTGACAGTTACAGTAAGTAGAGTCTTGGACTAGGAGTCACGTGGAATAACCCCTAGCCTCTCCTTACAGTTAGTATAGGACAGGTGGATTAATGGTTATAAAGAGCTCTACAACAGCAAATCACAACACTCAAAGCAACATTTGTTAGTTAACACACTAGCCGTTATCATTATAAGTTATTCTGAGTTACAGTAATATAGAAATGAAAGCCTAACTGACTTATAATTTCCTGTAGTGTATTATCAGAAAAAAGGCCTCATGGTACGGACAGGCACCTGGGAGGTCCATTCTCTGAACTGATGTCAGGGCAGGAGAAATCCTGATGTCTGTGGGTGCATCTGTTGGGGTTGGAGCTCACATTTATATACGCCCTATTCAGTCACTCAGCCATCTTCAGTCAGTTACTGAGTGCCTGCCATATGTAAGGTAGTGTATGTTTTAGCACACTAGAGTAGAACAGAACTTGCGAATCCATGAGAAATGTGGATTTCCAGCTTCTGAAAAACCAGAGGATCTGGCAACACTGAGCCCATGTGGGCCACAGCAGCAGTGTCTAGAGCCCCTGCACCCCCTTTTTTTTTAAGATTTATTTATTTACTTGAGAGGCAGAGTTAACAGATAGAGAGAGGGAGAGACAGACAGAGAGGTCTTCCATCTGCTGGTTCACGCCCCAAATGGCCACAATGGCTGGAGCTGGGCCGATCCAAAGCCAGCAGTCAGGAACTTCTTCCAGGTCTCCTACGTGGATGCAGGGGCACAAGCACTTGGACATTCTTCCAGGGCTTTCCCAGGCCATCAGAAGGGAGCTGGATTGGAAGCAGCCAGGACTCAAACCGGTGCCCACATAGGATTCTGGCGCCACAGGCAGAGGCTTAACCTACTGGCACCGCCTCTGCACCCCTAACATGGGTCCTGTGCTCTCCACCTGACCACAGTCTTCGCTATTATAGTAATAACTCCTCCTTCCAGTTACCTGCCTGATCCCTACAGGCATGTTGGAGTTTGTGACCTCTGATGTAGCCAGTACGCTAGTTTTAAATAATGCAGGGTCCTTCAAGGGTTCGAATGTCCTTGTGACAGGTATGGGTTTCTTTGGTTTCCATGAAGCATTTGTCAAGACCCAGGGGACTCGCCATCCGTCTGATAACAATTCTGTATTCCTCGTGCATCCAAAAAGCCTGACTATGAGGACTGTATCTTATGCTTCAGGAGCCTAGGAACAAGAAAACAACAGTGGAGGAGCAGTTAGTGCAAGAGGTGGAACGCCTAAAGGCAAAGGTAGAGGCCGGGAAAGCCTGTTTCTTAGAGAAGTACAAAGAGTGCCAACGACTCCACAAACAGATCAGGCAACTCAGGGCTGCCGCACTGGTAGGTGAACAGGGGTGAAGGGGCCCAGGGCCGCAAGGGGCGCGGAGGTTTGTGGATCTCAGAGCAAGCTGCAAGGATGTATGTCCCCTTCAGAGGAGGAGGGCAGAAGCCACCTCGGGGGGGCCGCCCCTGGAACACCAGCCCCGGCTGAAGCACGGGTCAGGGCAGGATTTGGTAAGCGTTGAGCAGGATTCTGCGTAGACTCAGCTAGTCCTCTCTTATTTCTACCTTTTGAGGAAGTGAAGCAGGACCGGAAGAGCCAGCAGGCGCCAGTGGGGCTGGGGAGCAAGGAGCCTGCAGTCAGCGCTGCCACCGGGTAGCCCCCTCGCGTTACTGCCTCAGGGTCGGCTACAAGCGCACAGCAGTTTGGGCACCAGCATTCAAATAAAAATCTTGGAACAAAACCACAACTAGCAGGATTAGCTTAAGTGTGTGTGTGAGGTATGCGCATGTGTGTGTCCGCAGGTAGGAGACGGGACGCTCCGGAGGGAACATGGCACTGGTCAGGCCAACCCTTCCTTCTGGGAGGCTAAGCCTCTGAGCTTCAAGCTTGCTGGGTGAGGTGTTTACTCAAAGCACGGATGCTTGTCCTCAGGTTTGAGTGACGCTGAACGAGGCTGCACTCTCCCGTGGTGGTAGTTCAGTCCTGAGGTTTTCCCCACGCTTACTCTTTCTGACCCCTCACACTCCCTCTCCTGATGCCTGTGGGCCTTTTATTAAGTCACTTTTCTGGGAGTTGGTTTCCTGTCCTTGGTACCACTCCCTCCTCCCTGGGTCCCTTCTCCCACCTCGGCCCCACCCCTCCGGGAGGCCAGTGCCTCTGCAGTCTCTCAGGGGATCCTAATCCTAGTTTTGTTTGTTGACAGGAAGAGAACTTTGACCTCTCAAGAAGACTGAGTGATAACAAGATTATGCTCGAGGCTCTGCTGAGAGAGAAGGAGAACCTGGAAAGAGAAAATGAGGTAGGGACGTGAAGGAGGGTGAAAGCCCCAGGGGTCTAGGGGAAGGGAGCAGCTGGCCCAAAGCTGTAGCTGCAGAACCCTGAACGAAGGGGCCTGTGCTGGACGGGAGTACGTGGAACCTGGCTTCCTGATCCACCACAAACCCTCTTTGTTCTGCAACCGAACCTTGTTTTGCATGGCAGTGTCACCTGGAGGGGAGCGGCCTTGGTGAGCCTGGACTTTCGCTTTTGGCCGCACAGCTGCTAAAAGCATAGTGTTTGCGGGGGAGGGTGATACCCTGAGAGGCTTTCATGCTAGCGGGGACCCCTCTCCCTCAGCACAACTTGTTCCTTTTTCCCTGCTGTCAACACCAGGCGCAGAAGTGCTCTGTACCACTGCTGGGGCCCATGCAGGCCCCTAATTAATGCTGGGCGTTCACTAATCACTTCATTCTTGCGCCCAGCTGATACGGAGTATCTGCTATATGTTAAACAACAAGCTGGTTTTCACGGATGATTGATTGGCTGATTGATCGATGGATGATTGATTGGCTGATTGATCGATTGAGGGGGATGGAAGCAAATCAGGTGGTCACACCTGAAGTTGTTCTCCATGAAAAAAAGCAGACAGGTGTCCATGTCTTCTGGCTGCTCCCCCTGCCTTTGCGCTTCCAGCAGTTCTCCCCTCCGCACTCTAAGCCTCCTGCACAGTGCCTCCAAGGGACCATTTCTACTTTTCTCTTTTCAATTGTCTCTTTAAAAACATGCCTGACCTAAGAGGAAACATGCCATCTTAATAGCTTTCCAGCACACCGTCACTGTTGTGCGACAGCTCCCCAGAACTTCACCTCGCGACACTGAAACCCATACCCACCAGACACCAGCTTCCCCTGGGTGAGCTCTTCGTGCTGATCTCACGCCCCTGTCCTGGGCTCTGTGCTGCCCTTGTCATTCACACTCTTGACTGGGATCTGTGGACCTTGCCTTTGAAGTCCCAGTCTCCAGGGGGCCACACAGAATCTGCAACAACGTGGTGCTTGGAGGCTTTGTTAAGACCCACAGTAAAGCCCGCCTAGAAGGCTGAGGGGAGATGTCCAAATGCCCTTTTTCTAGGAATGTTCCATGCCTGCACCACGTGTATCTTTCTCTCCTTTCTCACTGCTTGTCCTTCTCAGGGTCGTGTGCCCACCTCCCTCCCTTCCTCCCTTCCTCCCACGCTCTCTGTGGGTATCTCCATTTAATGGACAACACGTGAAGAATGGAGAATTACATCAGATGCGTATTTACATGGTGCTAGGAAACTGCCCAAGGCAGCAAACCGAAAGAATCGTTCTCCTCTCAACATCGCAGCACTTTGACTAAAGCCCCTGCCAGCCTCACGTGTCCACGCTGCTTTTGTACCATCCTTCCACGATGAGTATTCAGAGATGTGCAGTCCCTGTGAGTGAATGTAACCAAATCCCCGAAGTGCACTTCGGGTCAGAGATAAAGTCCTCAGCTCGCTGCAGGATCCAGGCTTCCGCTTTCCCGCTCGACGAGTTGTAGATGAGCATTTCTCGGGCTTCTCCAGTGCGGTGTTGTGAGTGGAGACCTGTAGGTACTGGGCATCTCTAGCCAGGCTGCTGTTGGCCATTCCTTGTCTCTCAATGCCTGTAAACTCTCTCCTTAGCTCTTGAAGAAGGATAATAGCAGATTGCTGAGCTACATGGGTCTGGATGTTGACTCTTTGCCGTATCCAATGCCGACTTCAAATCACGGAGGTGCAGGACAAAACCCAGGACTGGTCTATGGAAACCCATATTCTGGTAAGACAACTTTGCCATTCCAGCTGGCCGGCCCCTCCCTGCCTGCATCCGGCTCCCCCACTTCTTCTTGTTGCTGTTTGTTTTATTTGTTTGTCTGAGATGCTAATTAAGACCAGTCTCATTGTTAAGACTTGCTGGGCAGAAGCTGAGGCCCCAATAGAAAGATTGCCGGGCAAGAAGTCTTAATTGAGAAATAAATCTAAATCCAGAAACCACAAATCAGGTCATGCGCCTAGAGGCAGCAGACACAAATTGAGTCCCATGGCTACATTCTGAATGTGTAAATCAGACGAATGTCTTTATGTAGGAGATATACACACCCAAAGCTGCGAGAGCTCGTTAAGGCGGCGCAGCGGAAGCATGAGCGCAGATCGCGCTGCCCGCACACTGCCCGCACACTGCCCATTGCAGCGGCCTCCCTGATGGCGTGACTGGGGGGAGCCAGAGCGTGCTCCTCCGGAACTCTTGGGTGGCGGGGCAAGAAGTAGGGGTGGGACTTGGGGCAACACTGTCCTTTTCAAACATGGAGCTTTTCTCTGTTGTCCCCAAAAGTGATAGCAGACCTCATTTGCTTTTTTGGACACTTGTATTATCTTAAGAGGCACAACCTGATCTTTACAGTAGACAGGAGAAAAGGTTTACTTTTTAAAAAAGTTTTAAGTGCTTTTGCCCTCTTCCAACACAGTGACCTCGACAGAAATCAGAGCGAGTCCCTCCCTACCACTTTCTTTAAAAAAAAAAAAAAGGGGGGGGGCCGGCGCCACAGCTCACTAGGCTAATCCTCCACCTAGCGGCGCCGGCACACCGGGTTCTAGTCCCGGTCGGGGCGCCGGATTCTGTCCCAGTTGCCCCTCTTCCAGGCCAGCTCTCTGCTGTGGCCCAGGAGGGCAGTGGAGGATGGCCCAAGTGCTTGGGCCCTGCACCCCATGGGAGACCAGGAGAAGCACCTGGCTCCTGCCTTCAGATCAGCACTGTGCGCCGGCTGCAGCGCGCCAGCTGTGGCAGCCATTAGAGGGTGAACCAACGGCAAAAGGAAGACCTTTCTCTCTCTCTCTCTCTCTCTCTCACTGTCCACTCTGCCTGTCAAAAAAAAATTGTTTATTTATTTATTTGAAAGGCAGAGTTGCAGAGAGAGAGAGATCTTCTACCCACTGGTTCACTCCCCAAATGGCCACAACAGCTGGAGCTGGGCCGATCTAAAGCCAGGAGCCCAGGGCTTCTTCAGGTCTCCCACGTGGGTACAGGGGCCCAAGCATTTGGGTCATCTGCTGCTGCTTTCCCAGGCCATTAGCAGGGAGCTGGATTGGAAGTGGAGTAGCTGGGACTCGAACCTGGTGCCCATAAGGGATGCTGGCACTGCAGGCAGCTGCTCTATCTGCTGTGCCACAGTGCTGGTCCCTCTCTACCATTTTCTGGCTGAGGACGGGGTAACTGGTAGAGGAAGTACAGTGCCCCTAGTCCAGGCTGTTGGACTGATGAAGCAGGTGACCTGGAAGGAGACGTTTCAGCCACGTGGCACAGTATTGATGGTACCTCCAGCTGCCTCGTGGGCTGCTCAGGAACCCAGTGTCCACAGGAGCTGTCTTCCCAAATCACCACCTGTCTGCCTTTCTGGAGAACCCGCCCTGTACTGTGGCAGAGGAGAGGGAATTCTTTTGGAGCATGAAATGTCAGTGCAGTGCATTGACCACATGAACCCAGCCATTCCAAAGGGTTGAAAGGTCTTTGCTTTGCTGAGGTTGAGGCCCTGTATCCCCTGGAACCTGGTGCCCCGAGTCAGCGTCTCCAGGTGACAGGAGCCTGTGAGCGGACACTGCCGATCAAGCACAGGCTAAAGACAGGCCTGGTCATTCTTGGGCCAAGACAGAAATGGGGATTCTGAGCAGGCACAGACAGGGCCCCAGGTCCTGCATACCTGCGGTGACTGCCACCTGGAAGAGGTGAGCATAGCTTTGGGGACAGTAAGTTCACTCTGAGGAAGCCAGTTTCTTCTGTGAACTGGGAGGCTGTCTAGGAAAGTGCCTGGTGTTGCAGTGGAGTACTTTACAACACACTTGCAATGACAGGGATAGAACTCAAAACCTCTTACATGGGGGTGGGGGTGGGAACAGTATGTATAATAATATGAGAACAGTACTGCGTAGTCCTAGACTGAAAAAAATATAAAGGTAGGCTTAATAACTTAATAACCTCATGGCAGTAGATAGAGCTGGAAAATCCTGTTACATCTGCAGCTCTGCACTTTATTTTCTTATTTTTTTTTTAAGATTTATTTATTTATTTGAAACACATAGTTGTCACAGAGCATCAGAGGCAGAGAGAGAGAGATCTTCCATCTGCTGGTTCACTCCCCAAATGGCCACAACAGCCAGAGCTGGGCCATTCTGAAGCCAAGAACTTCTTCCTGGTCTCCCACATGGATGCAGGGGACCAAGGACTTGGGCTGTCTTACACTGCTTTTCCCAGGTGCATTAGCAGGGAAGCTGGATCAGAAGTAGACCAGCTGGGATTCTAACTGAACCCATATGGGTTGCTGTTGGCTGCAAGTAGCCCCTTTACCTGCTATGCCACAGTGCCAGCCCCCATGTGGATACAGCTTTACAGTCTATTCTCAGACTATTTGTTTGTGGAATTGTTACCTCCCCATTCTGAAAACGGGTGTGTTATTTGTGGTGGTACTGGAAATGCCATTTCATTAATTTTTCCTCATTTCTCTGTCGCTGACTTAGATCCCCTCTCTCAGGGGTCAGTGATGTATTCGTGGCGGATGAGAGAGAATCAGAGGCAATGGGGAGAAAGGGAACAGTGAGGGGAACAGAAGACACCCGTTAGGACACAGCTGGAGAGTCGAGGGATGATATTTTTTCATTGAATTAAATCTTTTTTATTACCCTCAGGTATCCAAGAAAGTTCCTCCTCTGGCCTGGTAAGTAATGTTTCCCCTCCAGCTCCAGTCCATGGGAGAGCCACAGGGAGGCTGGTCCGTTCTCCAGAAGTAGTGGGGCAGTGTCTCCTGGGCCCAGGGCTAAGCAGGGTTGAGGTGGGAAGAAGAAGGCACAGTTTGTCCCCTGGCTTTCTGCCCAAGATCCACGGCTGTGACTTGAGTCTGGTAGCCTATCTAGGGAGGTGGTGTGAACTGAGCTCCTTGCCAAACAAGGCCTTCCAGCCTAGAAGCTGTGTTGTGTTGTTTTGTTTTTCAAATATGTATTTATTTGCAAAGCAGCGAGAGATACCTTCCATCTGTTGGTTCACTCCCCAAATGGCCACAATAGCCAGGGCTCGGCCAGGCTGAAGCCAGGAGCCAGGAACTCCATTTGGATCTCCCACGTGGGTAGCAGGGACTCAAGCCGTCATGCACTGCCTCCCAGGTGCAGTGACAGGGAGCTGGATTGGAAGCAAAGCAGCCAGGGCTCCAGCCAGCTCTGCAGTCTGGGACGTGGGTGTCCCAAGCAGCGGCTTACCCCACTGCGCCACCATGCCCACCCCTGAAAGTCGTGCTGACTACTCCAGCGATGTTAGGCCCTTTCAGCGCGGGGCTAGAGGAAGCCCCAGTGGGTATCTCCAAATGTGAATCTGTTCGTTCATGCACTGTTTCTTGAGTGCCTGCCGTGTCCCAGTCATACTAGGAGCTGAGTATACAGTGGAAAACAGCAAGATGGACGTGTCTCGGCCACACACAGCTGATGATGCTTCTGACCTCTTTGTTCTTCCTCCCAGTTCTCCGTCAAGAAGTGCCCCACCTGCAAATCAGACTTTGCTGACGACATGTGTGAGCAGCAGCACGTCTGTCTCAGTTGTCCAATTTGTCACAAGATCTTCCCAGCAAGAGAGAAGCAGATCTACGAAGACCACGTGTTATGCCACTCGCTCTAAGTGTCCCAGCCTCGTGGATCGATGCTCTACTTAGATAATTTATAGAGTAGAGAGAGCATCTACTAGGGGTCCTATGAGTCAAGATCCCGCCTCACCTGAAGCGGTCAGGGAGTCCCTCAGCCTGCTGCCCCGAGCGCTGGGGTCGCGTCCACTATCTGAGGATGGCGTTAGGGGCTTCTGCGTCCCCCCTCGCAGGTTACCCCCTGTAAGTCACATAACTCCAGCTGTGTCGGCCTCTCACCCGTAACGCCCATTCTTCCGAGGTCTCAGGACAAGGGCCCTGGGGTAGAGCTCGCCTGCTCTTCACAGCAGTCTTTACCTGATAGGAAGTGATTACTTTCCCAAGCCGTCCTGCTGTCATGCGAGGTCAGGCCTTGAGTGTGTGTGTACTCAGTCCTAACCCTGGGCCTCTGTCTCTGCTTGATTGCGTCAGACCAGACAAACATGACGCGGGAGAACGTGGCTGCCCAACCTGGATACCAAAGGTTCCCCATCCGCATTACTCAGCTCCCTGAAGAAGTTTATTCCTGCACAGTGGACAAGAAATACCATTTCAGTCACAGGAAGCCTCCTTTCTAGATACCTCTGACATTTTCTAACCTGGTCTTTTCTATGCATAACACGTAGCTTTTTTTGTTGTACATCCTTTTTTAATGGTTAGTTGGAGTTAGAAAATATATGGCCTTATTACTTTTTGAGCAGGTGAGTTTGAAGATGGATGTTAGAATAATGAGACAACCATTGTTAATATCCTATACTAAAAATAAATTGCTCTTCTATTTCAGGGATTTAAGCAACTTAAACCTTCAGTTTATGGCCTTTTATTTTTAAGTTGTGGACTAAACAAAAGGATTATGGGAATGGCAGACAGTCCCAAAGATTTCTGTTCACCTGTCTTAACTGTTCTACCAGAGAGAGCCCTGGCGGTTATCTAGAGCTGGAGAGGGAGGTAATGCAGCGTTAGCTTGAGAAACCTGGGGTCTGACTTCGTGCCCGAACCTGCCGTGCATTTTTTAAAAGGAGCAGTGTGGATTTTGGCAGCCTTTGTGAACTAAGTTCAGTGACCTCCATCCAGATTTGCCTAATTGAACTATTAGAAAGCAGCTCCGTTTCCTCTCCCCTAGGGGACTGAACAAATGGAAACGACTCCCAGGCAGCCAACCAGCTGGTCTCCATAGAGACTTTTACAAAAACTTGGGAATGATATGAACATGATGTCATGAATAGCGCTGAGCCAGCCTTGGCTCTGCTTGCCTACGGGGTTTTTCCCGACGTGACTGGAATTGTGCCCTGTCCTAGTCACAGCTCCTAGCTTTGATTCCTCACACTTCTGCCGTGTCACCGCCTGCTGCAGAAGATGTCTCTTGGACTTTCTGCCCCCTTGAGAATCCTATGCGACCTTCGCGCTGACTCTACAGTAGATGGACCGGGGCCGGGACCGGGGCCGGGGCCGGGGCCGGGGCCGGGGCCGGGGCCGCGGTCTGGAAGCAAACTTCCCGGCACATCCCCTTCCTCCCTGCACCGCTTCTGTTGCTCTCCGGGTAGTTCCGGTGAAGAACCGCGGTTTCTTTACTTTTGTCTTAGCTCTTCATTAGGCCCATGAGTGGAGAGGAGCAGCAGCGACACAATCCAAACCGGTGCTCCCCTTGGCGCCTGCCGCCCCGAGGGTGGCCGCGATTGTTCTCCAGCAGCAGGAGCCCTGCCACAGGCTTGATGGAAAAGCAGTCCAGGTGGCAGTGACCCTTGTCGCTGGGTGGAAAACAAAGCATCTTTAACCACTGTCCCCCATCCCCGGCTGCTCTTCCTGAGGCCGAGCAGGGGCAAATGTAGCCGCAGGCGGCTACTAGCACTAAAGGAAACCACGACTCAGATAATCCACTGCCCCCCCATCCTCCTTGCACCTACACATTTCTATATTAGCTGTAAAATACCTGCAAAAAATTAGCAGGAACTTAGGGCATAGGTAGTACTGATATCTATATTGGATTTTGGAGCCCAAATGTATTATGGAAGCAAGTCTTCTGAATTCATTTTCTCTCGGTCTAGAATTTCCATGTTTTTGTGTTAGCTCAGTACACTTACTTTATGGACAGTTTGGGGGGGGGGGGAGTTACCCTGGCAGAGGTGAATATGGAAGAAAACTAACGAGAGCTGGCAGGACGTTTGGTAAACCAAGGCTCTTCACAATGCCTATTGCTTTGGCCCTTTTCCTTGATCTGGCCGGGAATTGCGATCACATGTAGGTGTTTACATGGCCCAGTCTCATTCTCCTGCGAGTCGAGTGCTTTTCTTCAGTGGCAGTGGATTGCACTGAGATAAGTATACTCTAACCTGGTCTCCTAGCAACAAACATGGATGAGCCGGTAGGCCGGGGCGGAGAGATACAGTTCATTACCTAAGAAAGAAGCAAAATGGACTCTACATGGAAATGAAACCCAAAGAGATATGCAGCTAATTGCCCTGAGTTAATGAATGTTAGGCCATCAGCTCAGGGCGGTTATGCCAGCCCCAATGTTCTCCTTAACTGACCTCCTGTAAATATTAAAGTATCTGCACATTCTTGCAGGGCTTTATAGTTTAGAATACATCTCATGTATTCCCTGTGCACCTCCCATATCTGCAACAGACAAGGTACCTCACTCTCATCGTAATAGCTGAGTAAGCTGAAATGTGGAGAAATATCTTGATGAGATTGGAAACAGCCCATACATCCGCCAAGTGATGCCTTGATGAAGAAAACGTGGTGGTGTATCTGCACATGGAATAGTGTTTGGCAGTGCCAAGGAGTGAAGTATCTGATATGCATGAACCTTGAGACCATGCCAAGTGAAAAGGACCACATATCGTATGATTTCATTTGTAGGCAAATGTGTAGGAAAAAACATAGATGCATGGTTTCCCAGGACTGGAAGTTGGGGAAATGGAGAGTAACTGCCAACGGGAGTGGAGTTCTAGTGGGGTACAGAAAATGTAAAACTGATTATGGAGATGGTGGTGCGACTCCGAGGTAATACTAAAAATCATGGAATTCCTTCAAATAGATACATTTTATGCCGTGTGAATTACATCTCAAGTTGCCATATTTTTTAAAGGTTAAAAAAGTAAATTACGGTGGTCACACATTGGCTAACGAGGGATCTCAAGTACAGATCACACAGCAGGTAACACTGTTGAACTTGGGCAGATTGTGCTTATCTCAGGACAGCCACCGCAGCCATGTCAGGTTCTGCTTCTATCTTGGGCTGGCAGCACCCGTCATTGGCGAAGGAATCAAGATGAACAGGGTCAGGCCAGCAGCATTAGTGGTCTCTGGGAATATCTTTCTGTAGAGATGAATGTCCCCAATAAAGTTGGGGGGGAAGAGTCGTCAGTCCACAAATCTCAGGCAACCACATTAAGGGATCCAGCCTGCTCTACCTAATGGTATTACTTCTACCTGGGGAATGAAAGAATACGACTCTCCGGGGGACTAAGTTTATTATTGTTCACTCAGTCAGTCAACATTCATTGAGCACCCACAGTGTACAGAGCTAGTGTTGGGACAGCATTTAAAAAAAGAAGACAGGCCATCTTTCCCTGGGGGACCTACAAGATTAATGAAGACACTGTCTCTGCCCTCCTCCAACTGCTGGGGGTGGAGGGGAGAGCCTCAGGTTTCAGGGGTCTCCCAACCTGGTGGGGAAAGGAGACAACCACCCAGAAAAGCAATTTTAGGACATAAGATGCGGGAGGCCATCCTGCAAACAGGACATCAGCCGTGGGACCTCAGTGTTAATTACGTGTTTCCAAGCCCAAGTTCATGATGGCTTCATAGAGAAATGTGCTTTGGAGGAAGCCGAGGGACACACTCAGCCCCTGCAAAGGAGGAGGGAGAAGCAGACCCAGGAAGCAAGAGACTTCTAAGCAGAAGCGCTGAACAAAAAGAAGGCAGCTTCCGTCCTAAGAGATAGCACAGTCCGGCGGAGTCACAGCGAACGAGCTCTGAGCTAACAAGGGATGGGGTGGGGGCGTGCAGAGCCTCCAATGCCAGGCTGCCTGGTTCCCGGCACCAGGGGCCGGGCCTCTAGGCAACAGCCCTGCCGCCAACTCGTCCCACTCTTTGTGCCTGATTTTCATTGTAGGCGAACTTTCTATGGCACCTGGACCACAGGGTTGCTACCAGTGGCTCTGGGGTTTTAAACCTCTCACTCCCCATCCCCCAAAAGTCAGGTTCCCAATTGTAGATTCCAGCAAGGGTGGAACAGTGCTCTCGTTCCTCGTCCAGTCCATGCACTGGATCCCCTGAAACACAGGGAACTGGGAAGTGCACAGGACGACGTACTACTAAATAAAGGAACGAACGTGGTGGAAGCTTCCAGGGAATTTTGCTGAATTTGTAGGGCACTTAAACTTGTATGCTGTGTGTTCCATTTACATGACGTCCTTCAAACTTCAGAACTGGAGAAATGGAGAACAGTGATTTCCAGTAGTTAGGCTGAAGTAAGAGGAGGGAGAAGAGTGATGGGTGTGTTACAAAAGGGCCATGCGAGGGATCCTGTGGCAACAGAACTGTATTTTGGGGGACGGACCTTGGGGAGTGAGCAGTGGTTAAGTCCCCGACTGGGATGCCTGCATCCCATTCAGTGTCAGGTTCAAGTCCCAGTTATTCGGCTTCTGGTCCAGCTTCCGGCTGATACACACCCTGGGAAGCAGCAGGATGATGCCCAAGTATTTGTGAGGAGACCCGGGTTAGAGTTCTGGGCTGCTGACTTCAGCCTGGCCTACCCTTGGCTGGTACAGGCATTTGAGGAATGAATCAGCGGAGGGAAGATCTCTCTCTCTCTCTCTCTCTCTCTCTCTCTCCTCTATTTGTCTCTCTCTGTCTCTCTGCCTTTCAATAAAAAAAATGAAAATTTGTCAAAAATCTGCTCCCATGGTCACAGTGCCTCCTCTTCTCAGTGTGTGCTCTCCTCTGTGTGTCTTTCTTACAAAGACATTTGTCACTGGATTTAGGGCCTGCCTGGATAATCTGAGAGAAAGGCCTGCCCTCAAAATCCTTAATCACATCTTTTGTCACATAAGGTGATAATCAGAGGCTCGGAGACTAAGGCGTGGATGTCTCTCGGGGAAGAGCTGCACAATGGCAGAAGGACGAGCAGCCTGTTCAATTGGAGGGCCTTGCAGGCCTTATCAGGACGCAACTGGGTAAACGTCTCAGTACAGAGCTGAGTTCCAGCTGCAGGCTGCTCCTGACTGGTGGTCCAGCTGAAGCCACACAGCACATGAGCCAGCCTGCACAGAGCAGGAACACGGCCGGGGTCACGCCAGACCCTGAGCAGCACCGACTTCAGGGCTTCCGGCTGTGGACAGGAAGCCAGCTGGTGGCAAGGGAAGGGCAACCAGGAGAAACATGGCAGCCTAAAAGCCCCTAAGCGAGAAACAGCTCAGAAGATGAGCTCAGTAGTGTCAGAGCTGGGAAGAAGCCCTTGATTGTCAGAATTGAATGTGGGCCAGCGGGGGCGGGCGTTGTGGCAGGGTGGGTTAGGCTGTTGTTGGAGACAACCACAGCACGCTGGGGTCGCCTCCTCCTCTGCTTCAATCCAGCTTCCAGCCAATGTGCCCGGGAGGCAGCAGGTGATGGCCCAAGTACCTGGGTTCCAGCCACCCCCATGGGACACCGGATGGAGGTCTGGGCTCCTGGCTTCTGCCTGGCCCAGCCCTGACTATTGCAGCCATCTGGGGAGTGAACCAGAGGATGGAACACACTCGCTCCCTCTCCGTTTCTGTCGCTCAGCTTTTCAAGTAGATTGAAAAAAGTAAACTTTTTTTTTTAAGATGACAGGTGTTTTTTTTTTTTTTTTTAAGATTTATTTATTTATTTGCAAGTCAGAGTTACACAGAGAGGAGAGGCAGAGAGAGAGAGAGAGAGGGGTCTTCCATTATCTGGTTCACCCCCCAATTGGCCGCAACGGCTGGAGCTATGCCGATCCGAAGCCAGGAGCCACGAGCTTCTTCTGGGTCTCCCACACAGGTGCAGGGGCCCAAGGACTTGGGCATCTTCTACTGCTTTCCCAAGCCACAGCAGAGAGTGGGAGCAGAAGTGGAGCCACCAGGACTTGAACCGGCGCCCATATGGGATGCCGGCACTTCAGGCCAGGGTGTTAACCTGCTGTGCCACAGTGTCAGCCCCAAAAGTAAACATTTCTCAAAATGTTGATGTGCAAATAAGCTTGTTTTTAAAAACCATGCTCACTAAAGACATTTGAAATGCATCAAGGAGAAAATTAAAATCAAGTGTATTAGTAGCAACCAAACACAAGCACAATAAACATTTCCACGCAGCTGTTTCTATGTACAGAGAGCTTTACAGAGACTGTGCAGTGCACACACGTGCGCATGTGCCGCCCTCTGAATCTTCACGGAGGAGCTGTGCCCCGGTAGGGAGACAGTCCTGGCCGCCCAGAGAGTGAATAGAGCTGGGGCACTGCCCCGGCCTCCTCCCCAGGGAAGTGGCTGTGCGAACACCAGGGCCAATGCCTCGCATGCGTGTCAGAGCTAATCTGTCTTCAACACCTGCTCCCCGGCTGCTGCGCCCTGCCCTGCGCCACCTCCGACCCCCCAGGAGGATCTCCACCAGCTCCCCACGGCTTGCTCCACCTCATTGCTTCTTGCTGCTTCTCCCGTTCCCCTTTAGCCCCTCTTGCCAATAGCCCCCCTCAAACCACAGGAGGAGCCCCCATGCCACACTTCAGCCAGGAGCCTCCTGGCCCTGCCCTTCCCTTGTTTGCTTTTGCAGTTAAATGTCCACTTCTCTGCTATCTGCCGACCGGCCCAGGACACACGCTGGCCTGACGCCCTGCTTGGCCACCTGGGCTTCCTGACCACTGCTTTCTGCTGCCAGCCTGCGCCAGCCCTGGGCACATGGCTTCAATTGAATAACATCTCCAAGCAGACTAGGAACAGGGAAAACCTCAAAACCATGACAAAATGGGCCGGCATTGTGACACGGCAGGATAAGCCACCACTTGGGAAGCCAGCATCCCGTATCAGAGTGCCAGTTAGAGACCTGGCCACTCTACTTCTGATACAGTTCCCTGCTAATGTGCCTGGGAAGGCGGTAGGTGGTGGCCCAAGTACTTGGGCCCCTGCCATCCATGTGGGAGACTCTGGCTTTGGCCTGGCCCAGCCCTGGCTGTTGCAGTCATCTGGAGGAGTGAACCAGCTAATGGAAGATTCTCTCTCTCTCTTTCTCTCTCTCTCTCCCCCTCCCCCCTTTCCCTCCCTCCCTCTCTCTGGTCCTCTGCCTTTCAAATAAATCTTTAAAATGTAACAAAATACACTGCGAGTGGTGAATAGGCCTTGTTTCTGAACTAGGTGCTTTTGCTCCTCCCCAGTGGCTGGAAAAGGCAACCCTTGCTGTCTGCCCGTCCTGTCCCTCTACTGGCTCTGCTCCCCAAAATGGCACCGACGGTCCTCTGGGCGAACTTCTGGCCCCTTGACTCATGGTCCACTGTATTAATGAAACCCAATATGTACGGAGCACTCGAAGTGCTCTTACAGGTGAAGGAGCCAAGGCTTAGCCAGGATGAGGACTTGCCGAGCGCTGCCCAGCCGCAGGAGGCCAGGCTAGCCCTGGGTTCCAGTGCTTAGTCCTGCGCTGTTTGGGGAACCGGCAAGCCCAGCTGTGGGGGAGTGGGAGGGGTGGGTGTGGCGCCTGAAGCCAACTTCCTGCCACCCAGCCACTCTGTTCTCTGCAGTAAAGTCCACAGTCCAGCGGGAAATTCCCTGTGAGTGACAATGACTCTTAAACTGGCTGGAGATAAGAAGTGCCCGCCCAGAACCTCCGGCGCCACGCCCTGCAGCTGATGCATGCTCTCGCTCTGCCGCAACCTTGCCAGCACACGCCCTCCTACCAAGGGCCCCAGGAGGGTCCAGGCCCAACCCCAAGCCTCCTGCCTCCCTCCCGGGAGCGTTTGCAGCTCAGCCCTGGCTGAGCCCATTGTTAACGGCAAGCAGCGGGGAGATCTGTGGCGGGAGCCCGGGAGGGGCCTGGAACACAAAAGGGCACTTGGGTCCGGGAGCCAGCTGTCCATGGGGATCCGGGAAAGGCGGGCCTCGCTTCCTGGTTATAAACCCCAGGCACTGCCCAGCAGAGCATCAAAAGGGCACTGTTAACCCACCGCATGGATTCAGGAAACCAAGCAGATCTGCCCAGCACAGGGCATCTGGTCCCGGCCCCGTCTCGAGGAATGATCATGGAAGAAAGGAAAATCTCCCTGGGGAAGAAACTGGGGAGGAGAAGTTAGGATCTGCTCGGGGCTTCACACCCGTGATGGCTGGGAGT